ATTGAGTTCCTCAATGAGGTTAAAATTTATATTAAATGCACCAGTTCAGCTAGAATCTGGAGGTACTTGCATTGCCTGTGTAAGGGGTTCCCTTGTCTCCTTTCAGAAAAGGGGGTTTCCCGAGGTTGCTGATTGGCTGGAAGTTCAGTAGTCCTTGAAGTGATTTCTTGGAAAGCCAATGGTTGGGCGTTGGCTGAAGATGCGGAGTTGTGGGCTGGTTGAAGTTTTGAGGAGGTCACAGACTCGAGGTGAACTCGGAGACACGGCCTTAACTTAACTCAAAACTTAACTCAGAACATTAAACTCTCAACTGAAAGAAAAGAAACTAAAGTAGAAACCAGCAAGAAGAGTGACGAGACTAGATGGCGTTTCTCCTCATGGTTTTAGAGGAGCAGCTGGCGTGTAAACCAGAGCACACTCAAAGAGCGCTAAAAAGCAGTGGCAAAAAGGAAAGGAAAAAAACCTAAAAGCATGACTAAAAGCAGTGACTAAAAGCATGACTTAATGGTGTCCTGAGTATTTAAACCGGGCTGTTGGACACATCCCAAAATGTGTCTTGACCAATTAGACATTGTCTTAGCTAGGGGTGTTGCAATGTTTCTCCTTCCAATACATAAATCAACATGTTATCTGATCAGTAACATGGTCCGAATTTTTCCGCTCTTGCAGAGTATAATTTGGACATGATTTCTATAACCAGAATATAATATATTTTACGAAGTATTGATTGATAGAAACGTTTAAAGCATGAATTTTCAAACTCATACATACTCAACATGAATATAATCATATAAACTATTCAATAGTTATTCAAAACACATACACAATAAGTGATTAGGACATGATAGTCACATATGTGGATTACATACATGATATGGAGTTATGCAATGGACTGATATTCATTTCTAAGTCCTTTTAAAGATGATTTTAGATGCATCCACGTATGTATCGTTCTGCGAACGTGCGGGTGTGCTTTGTGAGGCACAGAAAGGTTAAAAGGTCTCATTAAGAATTTCAGTCTGGTTCTTGTCCTCTAGGTGGAGGGGAGTCAATCTGAAGAAAGTCTTTAGCGCTGTGATTACTATCATGGATTTACATGTGATGGTCATGCTGTGCATCTCTTTGACCATCAATCTTGGTTACTTGCCCCAAAATTGACAATCTCCTTCCTGAGTTGAAATTATCAGTGTTCTTTTGTGTTAATGTTGAAAGCTGTTTGAAGCTACTAGTTTGTTAGGCTCACTTCAGACTCGTGGTGCCAGGATCTGATTTACGAACATTCTGTTGTCTTGGGCCTGTTTGTGGAATTCGGCTCTTTGGGTTGTTCAACACCAATCTGATCTAATCTTAAATTGTCTGATTCGCTCTGATACCCTACTGAACACCGTTGCTAGGTTTTATAAGTGGGACGTCCTGTCCTTTGCATCCCAAGTGCTATCAGTGAGTGCTTGATTCAATTTATGCTACCCTTATTGTTAGGCTGCTTAACACAGTTGTACTTTGTGCAGCCCCCCAATGCTATTGTTGTTGTTGTATCTGCCCTGTATTCAGTGCAGCTTCTCGTGATTTCATGCCAGATATGCAAATTTAGTATACGTAGGTTTTAGACGTTCATTGGCTTATCTCCACCTATCAGCTGAGAGCTTGCCTTACAAATGTCACTATTGGTTAAGGGAAATGTGGGTGTGTTCTCTCCCTGATATGTATAAACTTGTATAGGCTGCTCGTAGCCGCTCTCACGACTGGATTGAACACTGTTCCCGAAGTGGAGACTCCGCAATATTGAGAGAAAGCTCGAAAGGGAATCTTTCTGATTAGTGTTGTAACCTCGGTTCCCTGAGAGCAGGAACGAGACATTGCAGAGATCACCGTGCTTGCTGCTCAACCAGCTAGCAGCGTTCAGTATCAGTTTCTGACACAATTGTCGCGTGCACCACATTTTATACTGCCTCTCGAGCTTGTCAGTATTTGCATGCGATTTACATACTTCGCGACAATTGGCCAATCAATTGGACTGGCGTGAGCCAATAGGACTTCAGGAAAATTTGGAAGGAGACAAGTTCCTGAAGTGGAGACTCCGCAATGTCTCGTTCCCACTCTCAGGAAACCAACAGTAACCAGAGACATTTTCTCATCCAGTGCTATAGCACAATTTCACCATACAGCTAGGATCATCAACAATATTCCCAACTAGATCAGCCAGAAAACTTGCGGTAATCTTTGATGACAAGCTGACCTTCAAACACTGCAATGACATTATCATGCAGTTTTGCATTGCACAACACCAGGAAGATTAGGCTCTTCATAACGGAGCAGGCTGTACAACTTCTCCAGGTCCTTGTGATGCCTAGACTGGACTATTTCAATGCTCTTATGGCTGGACTTCAAACATGTGCAATCAGACGTCTGCAAATGATTCGGAACGTAGCAGCACAACTGGTCTTCAATGAGCCCATATCGCATCTCTCTTAATCTCGCTACACTGGCTACCGGTTGCGGCTCACATCAACTTCAAGACATTGAGACATTGCTTGCATATGGAACAGCCTCCTATCCCTATCCCTCCTCCTTCTAACTTGTATTCTTTTGGACAATGTTTGAAACTTTGTATTGCTAGCACTTATCCTATTATTGCCTCCTTGTGATAAATTGCTTTCCTTATTTGTAAGTTGCTTTGGATAAAAGTGTCTGCTAAATTAATAAATGTAAATTTGCATCTTTGCTAATATTTTAATAAATATACAGCAAGATTAAACAAACATATTATGTTTGACATGCATTAAAAGAAAGCTTCCTCTTCATTTTTAACTTATTACTAAATGTGATCTGATATCCCTGGGACACAGTTCACTTGAATCACTGGATGCACTAAACAAAAATCTATCAGTTGGAATATGTGCAGCAGGCTGTGATGAACACTGCAGTGCTCAGAATGAATGCACTGTATTAGTGGTCAGCATCCCATGCGGTTGTCTCTCTGTTCATCACACTGTCAACTGAACTGATTCAAATCAAGGCTGCCATATTTAATCTGTTTTGAGCCTCAATAATTGTATAGTTTTTGGGTTCACTCAATATTAATCACAACAGCTTTCACCACACTTTTCTCTGTAATATTCACATTGACATATGTGGTGGTCATGAAAATGTAAGTGGTAAAAAAAGAGAAAGAAATGAATCTTTCTTCATTTTCTTCTCATTTGCTCTATGGAAGCAGTAATATTCGTTGTATCATCAATCAATTGCTTTTCCCTTTGGAGCGTTCACCTGTTGGGGGAGGGGGCGCGCTGCTCAGACAATACAGACGCTGGCAGTGAGAAAGCAGCTCCGTGTCCTGTGTTCATTTTATATACATTTGTATCTCCCCTTATCAGGCGGTGAGGGTGCTACACATAGTCCTCTTCAGAATGGTCAGCGTCCACATTAATATAGTCCTGTTCAGAATGATCAGCGTCCACATTAATATAGTCCTGTTCAGAATGATCAGAGTCCACATTAATATAGGCCGGTTCATAATCATCATGATCCATGTTTTCATCAAGTTCCACATTTTCATAATCTGCATCATCATCATCTTCATTTTTGCTATTATGTGATGCAGCTTGACCTAATGATATTGCATAGAGATGGACAATTAAAGGAAAATGTCAAAACAAAAAAAAAGACAGTGACTTTGGAAGAAACAGTTTTACAGTTTTTTTTCAACTGCATACACACAAAATCTTTACTTGTCACAATAAAACTCAAACACCACAACCACACACCACATCTGCAAAACCATACACTAATTCTCGGACTTTGACTCAGTTTTCAATTTCATAAAACACTTTTTGCAAAACACAACACCCAATTCTCTATGTAACACACAAAAATCTAACAGGAATTATTATTATGGCAAAGGTGTTTGCAAATATTTGCTTTTGAGACGTGTTTTTGTGATATTCTGAATGCAGTGCCTCAAGAGATGTGAGGCATTTTGCTTTTTTTTGTGCAATTCTTGGATTTGTGTGTAAAGTTTTGAAAAAAAAAAAAAGGCAACGTTTTGAAAATGTGTTTAAGCAGTTGAAAAGACATCTGGATTCTTTTATAGAAGGAACATCATTACCTTTCATAAAAGAGCACTTCAAATGACTTTGTTTGTTCCTTTGCTTTTGTCTTCTCTTCAGCAGGAGGATGATTATGAGGACAGACAATAAGAGCAGCACAGCTGACACTGCAGCACCAATGACAGGAAGCAGGGAGGCTGAGAGAGACACACGTGTTTGAGTTTGAACTTTCATTACCAGCAGTCCAGCTTTGATTTAGACTCTTACACATCAGTACCTGTGATAGTGATGAGCAGCAGTTCAGAGGCAGATGAACGGAAGGAGCGTGAGGAGACACTGACTTCATAAACACAGCTGTAGTTTCCCTCGTGTGAATAATCTGCCTCAGGAAAGAAGAAGGAGGCAAAGTGACTGACAGCTGACTCAGTCCTGGTGATGTTTGATCCTCTGAACAGGTGAAAAGATCCTCCAGGATACTGAGATTGAGTTGAACAGATGATAGTGAAATTGTGGCCCCTGGTGATCACTGGCCCCTGAGGTCCCACGTCAAACCATCCATCAGGAGCACTGTGGTAAATACTGGGCTGCTGCAAGTTCACTAGAAAACAAGGAGAATACATTTATATGGTTACAGAGACTCAAGCATTAAATTCAAACAGTTTTAAACAAGTAAAAATGGCTTCAAGAACTGCATCTTGTCAGGATCAAAATGTAATCCATAGCCATTTTGTGCATACATGGTGTATTTATATTTGTACTGTATATAGTAACTGTTTGATATTGTTAGGAGCCAAGGACAAAAGTGCACAGCCATTATATGTTCTTTACAAGTTTTCTTCTAATATTATTATATTATAATCCTAGGGGTCAAACACTAAAGGCATAATATTACATTGGTACTTGTAGCAAATGAGCTCAAATGGGAATGTATATAAATAATTATAATTAATTATGATTAATTGCAATTATTTATATGAGCTGCCAGTAGTAACTGTAGCAGGATTAAATTGCCATCAACTAATCTGTTCGTCCAGCGAACATTCAGTGTAATTTCATATCAACTCTAAGAAAGGATATTTTCGTGGCCACAGAAAATACTTTCCTACAGTATTACTGCATTAGAGCATGTAGCAAGGATCAAAATCGTAAAGGGACATTATTCACCAGCAGGATCAGAAACTCATGTAATTTGTGCACAAAAGTTGTATTAACTAAACGCTAACACACATAACTAATCTAAACAAACAAACATACAATCACTCATACATGGGGAAAGGGCAAATGTGACTTGATGGATGAAACCATCAGGAAAACCAGAGAATGCAGTTATGGAAAATGAGTCAGTTAACCACCTGATTAAAACCATCAGCGCCGTTTTATAACGGGGTCTACAGCTTATCCTAAACCTCTTGTTTCGTTTAGTTAAATGTACGATACTTGCATTGCCTTGGCCTGGAACGAGCGTACAGATGCAGTCTCGGATGAAAGTCTTGATGATGGTTTGGAGGTTCGGTGGTGTAGGAGTCGCGATCACCTTCTTCCGGGTTTGAAGAGTGATGAACTCCAAAAAGATGTTATTCTGACTCTGTGGTGGTCGGAAGAGTTTTCTCCCAGATGAAGATGATGAAGAGCTAAGAGAGATGTCAGCTGAGATCCAAGGATCGTTGGTGAATGTAAAGACAAGGCCGAAGCCTGGCGCAGACTTCAAGGTTGCAGAAGCGTTGTAGCTCACATCCTCATCTTCTCAGAATCTAACAGAACCGCAGACTAGGGGCGGGCCGCTGATGTGTTTGCCTTTATCCTCTATCAAGGTCACACCTCTGGGGGATCAAAGAGCCTATGGTGTCTTGAACTTTTGGAGGGAAAGTTTATGACTCTTTGTCTCAGAGCATGGTAATTTGCATATGGAACTCAATTGGGTGTTGATGGAAAAACTATTAAAGATTCTTAGAACACTAATATATTGCCTATGTACCAACATATAATATACACTCTCGTTTAGATCATCAGAAGATGAATTCATAGATACCAAACATGGTATAGTTAAGATTACATTAACTAGTGATCTGTCATAACACACACAAAACAGTATACAATTCAAAAGACAGTATACAAGAACAGTAATGGTATACACAATGTCCTGAGGAGATGTGTGTTCATTCACAGAAAGGTTTTTCCATGAATTAATTAGAGAAGAGTCCCTTTTTATGGGCATTGTGCGTCTTTCCTAAAGGTAAATGAATTGAGAGTTGCTCTGCCCGCATTCCTTTGAGCAATAAAACCAGTGCTATCAGCATTGGTTGCCATGGAACCAGAGGCCTGTTCTGCCTTTTTGAGGTGTTAGCCGCATTTCGGGGGAAGGGTCCATTGAGCCCTCATAGTTGTCTTGTTGACTGAGGGGTGTTACGGGGTATTTGTTAAATATAACAAAAAAAAATTGTGTCTGATTGGTCCAGACGCTACATACTATTTTCATTACAAGTAAATTATCAAGAGAAGGTTCACTATGTAACTTAGACAGTAGTGTTCTGGAAAAGACTATAGAATACCCAAGATGTATCACTCCTATCCACCCGTGACATTTCTCTGCCCGTGCATTTTGTCTCGAGTTCTAATTCAGACGTCACAGCCCGGCTCGCGCTTGGCGAAAAACCACCTTATTGTTTAACGCGAAGGTAAGGTTATGGGTGAGACTTCCGGTTAATTAGTCATAGTAGGGAAATAACGAGTAGAAAAACAACGTGCAGTAAATGGTAAAGCTATTTGCGCTACAAATCAGTGTGATCATATTTAAAATTAAATTAAAATTTAGATAATACATTAAAATAATATGGTGTGCATTAGCTGGGTTAGCCTAAAAAAATAAGCCTTTTTTAAACGCTATTTGAGCAAAAGAAACAACATTTATGAGACAGTTGTTGTTGTATTTCATTGATGATTTCAAATATGAAATTTAATCTTAAGCTTGGTGACTAGTTTTGGAGAATTTAATGTTTCCCCATTCAAAGAGATAGGAGCTGCACTTGCATGCCCGAGAGGCGTTTCAAAGATGGCCGCCCGAGGGACATGACTTGCCTTAAAGGGATCATATGATGCGATTTCAATTTTTCCTTTCTCTTTGGAGTGTTACAAGCTCTTGGTGCATAAAGAAGATCTGTAAAGTTGCAAAGACTAAAGTCTCAAATCCAAAGAGATATTCTTTATAAAAGTTAAGAGTCAGCCACGCCTACCTAAAACGGCTCGTTCTAACACGCCCCCACATATCTAAGTCACTATTTGTGCGGCGTTATGCAACTCTTCCCACATCTTCACGCAAAGAAAGAAGGCGTAACTTTTATTCTCGCTGTAGTATTGTTACCGTCGCCGCCGCCATGTCGTGAAGGCACTGTGTGTTTCGTTGTGAAAGTGAAACTACTTTGTTTGGTCTTCCAAAAGAGGACGATATCCGCTTCGTCATGCCTAGAGCTGATCTGTGAGGAAATACTTCAACTTCGCCCTGTATCGCCGGATCGGATTTCACCGTGGACTACTTTGTTTGGTCTTCCAAAAGAGGACGATATCCGCTTCGTCATGCCTAGAGCTGATCCGTGCTGGTCGCTGAGGAAATACTTCAACTTCGCCCTGTATCGCCGGATCGGCTTTCACCGTGGACGAAGCGGAGTCATTTGCAAACACCTTTGCAATAACATTAATTCCTATTAGATTTTTGTGTGTTACATAGATAATTGTGTGTTGTGTTTTGCAAAACAAAGGCCGAGACGGAGTCAAAGGACGAGATTTATTGCATGGTTTTGCAGATTTGGTGTGGGGTTCTGTTGTTGGAGTGTCAGATTTCAGAAACTGTGTGACAAGTAAAGATTTTGTGTGTAAGCAGTTGAAAAAAAACTGTAGTAAGATACTCAAAAGGGTATTGCAGCACAAATAAACAAATAATTTACATTTTATTATGAGGGAGTTTCAGTCTGGTTTTTGAATTTACCACAGTACCGAAACTGTCCTTATGAAAATAATTAGTGACTTCAACTTAAATTCTGATAAAAATAAGCTCTCAGTTCTTGTCCTCTTAGAGTTAAGGGCTGCGTTTTATATGATCGACATTCTAATCAATCGTGGTAAAGTTGATCTTTCAGATTGTGTGGTAAATTGGTTCAAAATAAGAATAATAATATAGAATTATTAGGATAGGATAATTATAGAATGAGTTCACTTATATGTTCCTAATGTATGCAAATAATGCACTCACCCACAGTGATGATAACAGTGTTGCTCAAAGGTGACTTGACAGTGTTGTTTTGGTAGGAGTAACGACAGCTGTAGCTGCCCTGATGTGAGACGTCTACATTAACAAGGTTGAAAGTCACACTAGATTCATGTGTCTGGGAGGATATAGATGCTCTGTTCATGAAGAGCTGGAATGTAGCATTAGCATTGCATCTTTGTTTAGGTGTTGTGCAACTGAACTGGATATGTTCTCCAGGAGAAACAACTGCATGTGTGGAGGTCAGGGAAAGAGTCGGCATCTGCAGGTCACCTGTAAAATAAATGTTTATTTTACATAGTTTGCTAAGAAAAAATATGTAAAAGCATGACATTGATGAATCTTTATGTAATTCATATTGCTCATTTCCCCCAAAATAATGTATCAAGATGCTTCCTATTTAATTTACCTGAGCAAACAACAGCAGCATCTTGACTGTGACTACAGTTATGTTTTCCTAGTCCACTGTGTGAACATTGTGTGAGGGCTTCTTCACTTCCTGAGCATTTAACATAAACTTTAAAGTCTGTTTTTTTTTATAAAATATCTTGCAGTTTTTTAGAAAAATATTCTTCACAAGAAAGTAACAAATAAATGCTTACATTACTGACAAAAATCACAGACACTATGCACATTTTGTTAATAATTTCCTAAGTACAAACTCAGTGAAGTGCCTCAGGGACCTGACAAAATGTTTGGTTTAAGATAGATATAGCCTAATAAAAATATTAAAATGCAATAATTATTTGTATTCATTATAATGGGCGTATGAGGGAGACTCAGCCCTGAGCTGTGATGTTGTGAAAGGCCAGCACTGTGACTGTGATAGGGACAGTGATAGTGATACTGGCGGGAATGAGCTGTGGTTCTGTTGTCAGCTGCAGGCCTGTTCTTCCTCTAAACTTACAGTGTAAAAACTCTGGGGTCTAGATGAGCACGACAATGTTTATAGGCACTGAACAATGTGTAAACATAATGACTGTGTATCTGCATTCAGGTGCGAGAAGTTATAGAAAAATATTGTTAGAACTATTTTAAATCATTTTAGTTTACTAAACAGCTCATTTTCATGAAGCAGCTTAAAATAGTTTAGACCAAACAACTTTTTGGCGAATGTCTTTTAAAAATTCAAAATCATATCATCCCAAACATACTGTAGAAAAGGCCGGCTATAGATATACATATATATATATATATACAGAGAGACAGAGAGAGAGAGCGAGAGAAAACCATTAGTGCCCCCTTGTGACTTTAAGAGGTATTGCTTTGATTACTTAGCATTTCCCTTTAACAGTATTATCAGGACGCAGTTCAGAGCACGGACATTATTCGCTGTTGTTCAAGCAGTTGTTTTCTACTGAGTGCGTTCATACACAAGTGAGTGATGGTGTTCGTTATTCATTATCTTTAAATTGCTGTATTTTTAAGGCATAAGTTTGTGGTGGGTTTTTGTGAAATGTGAGCCAAAATCATCACAATTAAAAGAACCAAAGACTTAAACTACTTCAGTCTGTGTGCATTGAATTTAATACACAAGTTTCACAATTTGAGTTGAATTACTGAAAGAAATAAACTTTTCCACGACATTCTAATTTATTGAGATGCACCTATATGTGCGCCACACGCATTGTGTATTGCATCATCCACACGGAGCCAGTGAATGCATATGAGAGATGGTTAAATAGTGATATTGGTGTATAATATTGTAAACTTTAAGTCACTTTGAGTATGTGTATATTATTATTTACTGAATAAGTGAGATTGTTTGTGGTATTTAAGCCATATTTATCGGTTCTTCCGATGCCAGTTTCACTAGTGCTAATCTAGTCTGTACATGTCTGAATCGATCGTTATATCACTAATTTGCTACTATGCTATATTGCTATTATGTTTAAGTATATATATTATAAGTAACAGAGTGAGTTTATATTTAATTACTAATTGGTTATTGTTATTTCTGTTTGTTTAGAACCACTCATACTAAGCTACACTCCAAACTACTCTGCCATACTCTCTGCTACCTGTACTACAGTAATTCACTCAACCAAATTCAAGGACTGTAAACCTCTACAAGTCTTAAACCATTAAAGTGTACTTCGTCTCTGACCGGACGACTTATGTCTGCTCAATTTCCACCAGCACCCACACTAGTCTACCTCACA